CTCTGCTCTTCTCTCATCCCCACAGCCTTCCCACCCTAGCCCAAACCCTGAAATGAATGAAGTAGCTGTTCTCAAAGTGTGGCCTCTAGACCATCATATCATTTAACATCTATATTATTAATGTGACAAGAGCCATGCTTTAATCCATGAATTCATTATTAATGAGTGTGTAAATTATAACAATTATTCATTGACTAGAGGCCCAGTGCATGAAAATTCATGCACCGGAGGGGGGTCCCTCAGCCCGGCCTGCCCCCTCTCACAGTCTGGGAGCCCTCAAGGATGGGAGGCGACCCAGCGATCAGGGGAAGGTGACACACCATCATACCTCTGCTGCTGCCACTGCTGGCAGCACAAGCCTCAGCCAGCCCTGGTTACCTGAGCCTCAGGCAGCCCTGGGCAGCTGGGCAGCCACAATCCGAGGCTAGCCTGCACCTCGGACTGGCCCTAGGTGGCTGGGGGATCGAGGGCAAGTTCGGCTGCACCATGTGCCTGCTCCCCTCCCCCCCAGCAGGGTTGAGGGGACTCGGCACCGCCATCTTGTGGCTATGTGTGCTGCCATCTTTTGTGATGGTGTGATGGTCAATTTGCATATTCCCCTTTATTAGATAGGATTGCTATGACAACTTGTTTAAAAGGCAGCTGCTTGTTCAGTCATATCTAATCAAATAAGCCCCACCTTTCCCATGCAGTCTGGGAAAGGCTTCCTAGTGGCAAAGAGAAGAGGTTGTCCCCTGAAAAGTTACAGGGTGGCTGATCCCAAATTCCTGGAGTGCAGTAACTTCTAAAGCAAACACAGTGTCATTATGCAGGATAAATAGGTTCAAAAGAAGTTGAGGAATTCCAAACAAAGATGAGAGCAAAGGAAAAAAGGAATCGATTTATTTACACTTTGTACAGTAGTTTCAAATAAACTTGTAGAAAAGTGGTATCTGGCAGCCCCATGTTGCCTTGAATCCCTTATAATTCTAATTTTTAATATTAGTATAAACACTTTTAAAAGGAAAAATGTAATAATTGTATCCTGAATTTAAACTTTCCCTCATCATTTTATATATTACTTTTTATGAGTTATTTAGGACTCACTAACTTTTGGGGCACTCTGTGTGAGTATTAAAATCCACCCCCCCCAAAAAAAAAAAGAAAGAAAGAAAGAAAGAACTGGCACACTAGTAGTTACATAACTTTGGAAAAGAAATGTCTGTGACTACTGGTCCTTTCCTTCATGCATTGCTATGATTCTTCATATAATTGACATTAAAATAGATAAAGGACAGCACATGATTCTAAATATATGTGTGTCTCAAAAATCAAATAAGTGCATATAAAGAAGGCATTCCTTCTTTTCCAATTTCCTATTCCCAAGGCATTATTAGCAGCTCACTGTTAGTAATACAGAATGTGGAAGCATCTAAACTGCTGCGAGTAACCTTTGCCATTGCTTGCTTTGTTAGTCCTCTTCAAATGCTGCCTTTTTGGTGCATTTGCCTGCACAAAAGGAAGGATTATAAGAAAGGATTGTTACACAGTCTACTGGAAATGAAAGTAACTTAAAAATTAACTTATAAGGTTGCTGGCATGTGGTGTTTTTTTAAAAAAAAGATGCTTGGTTTTTTTGACCCAGTGATCCCACTTCTAGGAATACATCCCAAGAAACTACAAACACCAATCAGAAAGGACGTATGCACCCCTATGACATAGCAGCACAATTTACAATAGCTATGATTTGGAAACAGCCTAAGTGCCCATCAGCAGATGAGTGGATTAGAAAACAGTGGTATATCTACACAATGGAATACTATGCTCCTGTAAAAAAGAAGGAGTTCTTACCATTTGCAACAGCATGGATAGAAACGGAGAGCATTATGCTAAGTGAAATAAGCCAGTCAGAAAAAGATAAGTATCACATGATCTCACTCATTTGTGGAATATAATGAACAACATAAACTGATGAACTAAAATAGATACAGAGACATAGACATAGAAGCATCAAACAGACTATCCAACCTCAGGGGGAAGATGGGGGTGGGGAGAGGAGGGCGAGAGATCAATCATAGCACTTGTATGCATGAATATAAGCATAAGCCATGGACACAGTCAGTAGGGTGGGGTGAGGGCATGTGTGGGGAGGTGGAAACAAGCGGGGAGAGGTCAGTGGGGGAAAAGGGATTCATATGTAATACTTTAAACAATAAAGAATTTTTAAAAATTTAGTAAAATAAAGATAACAGGAACAACAACAAAGATGCTTGGGAAAATTTGTAGCATACAGGATCTATTTGGTGAGAAGATTCCAAATATGAGGAACAATTTATGAGAAAATTTTATAAACCTCAGTGGAAAAGACAGGGATGAGCAGTAGAAGTTAGGAAAGCACAACCTATGTGAAGAATAAATTTTCAAAAGAGCAAAAAAGCTGATCTGGGTGCAATCTCTAACTAGGCAGCCTGACACTTGTACAGCACATTAGAGTTTGCAAAGGTGCTTTAACATATGTGATCTATTTATTCTTCGTCATAGCTCTGGGAAATATTTAGAATAGGTACTATTCCAGTTTTACAGATGAGGAAAGCACATTGTCCTCTGAATACAGCACAAAAAGAAAAAGATGTTGAAAAGCAAGAAAGCTGAAAAAAAAGCCCCTTGTGAAGGCTGGAGGCAGTCAGGAGGCTTGCAGTATCTGAGCAAGGGAGGAGAGTGCGATTTCTGGTGGTGCAGAAAGGCATGCCAGGCTGTGAAAGCCCTTGAACTTGGGGGCAAAATATGAAGAGCAAAGGCACTTTTTCTAAGACAAATGACCTGAACAGTGAAATAGCAAAGATTCAGTTTTTCCAAAAAATACACACATGCTTTGAGTTTGACCTTTGAGTGTTTATTAACTCAAAAGAGATTTGAAATTTTTGGTCTAACTGCAGAGGAAAGCCCATAGAATCTCTGAATGAGTAAAAATTTCACGTTTTCATTGAGATTAAACACACACACACACACACACACACACACACACACGTTTCCTAAAATAATTTAAATAATTTTTACTTTTTTCTGTGTTTCTTCAAAGTAGTTAGCAGTCGATAGAGTAGCCTATAATATAGCTTTCTGTGTATATAATCTATTTGGAAAAAAAAGGGAATATGTCATCTTTTTCATTGATTTAGCTCTAGAGTATTCTGATTTGAAAAATTAAAATGCTAAATCTCATCTCTTTTGACAGCTATTGTGGATGGCACCCCCCAAAAAGCATTCAAACACTATAAAAGCTATTGCAATATTACGTTATTATCACCTGTTAACTAACTGTACAATTAAACATTTTTGCTCTTTGGTTATTGGGAACTGTTGTAAAATCCATTTTCAGATACACGATCATTCAGATACTGAGGCAGTTGCTAAAAAGCATCTAGTCAGTCCTGAAAAGTGAATAAATGTCTTTCTTTTTTTGTTGTTATATGTGGGGGAGCTGAGCCATCAATAGTGTCTTCCACAAGCAAGAGTTTATATTTCTTTCTTATATTCCTTGGACATTTATGGATGAATTGGCTTTCACTGCTGGATGATCGGTGGTGAAACTGCTTTGCCTGTGGGTTGAACAATTGGCAGTGATTTTGTTCTTGGTTAGCACCAGTTGCATAACATTTAGGAAGGACACAGACCTCTACATAAGAGGAAGGGGAAAGTGAATGGCAGAAAAAAATAAAGGTCAAATTGACAATGGACAAGATCCTTCGGGGGTCTTTTTCTCTTGCTGGTGTCAGAAGGATGCGCATTGGGACAAAGGAATGCTTTGAGGTGAGAAGGGCAAAAGCACTCTAATAAAGCCTTCAGGAGAGTGTAAATGACCCCGGGAATTCTGTCGCGGTTAAATTTAATCCTGGGCAAAAGAGGCCCTGGAGAAAGTAGACGAGGAAGATAGGAAGGAAGACAGGGAGGGGGAGGCACTGGGCGTGGAGGGAGGAAGGGGCAGGGGTCGGGGGCTGGAAAGTGAGGGGGCGCAAGTGCTGATTGTGGCCAAGGCGGCGGGGTTGGGGACCACAGAGTGGGGAAAAGTGAAAGTCGAGGGGAGGGGAAGAAGGAGGAGGAAGCAGCGCTCCTGGGATCCAGACGGGACCCCTAGCCGGGGAGAGGGCGGCGCGGGGCAGCGGGGGGCAGCTTGGCCCGCCTTGAGCGCCCTTGGCAGCCGCAGGCGTTGGCTCCTCTGGGCTCCCTCCCTCGCCGGCGCATTGTTCCTTTGCCGGGAGACGAGGAAATTGCCTTTTGATTGCGGAAGTCCGCGGACGGGGCGCGGGGCGAGGCAGAGCGGGTCAGAATGGCAGCGTGGGAAGGGCGGCGCGCTGCCGGCCCCCGCCGCCTCCCGCGTCCGCAGCCCGCCCGGGGCGGCAGCCACAGCAGCAGCAGCGGCGGCCGCTGCAGCCCTCGCACGTCGCCAGCCCCGAGGGAAGCGCCCCGCGCCCGCCGGGCGCCCTGAGCGCGCGCAACACGTGGCCCCCAGCGCGGCCGTCGGGGCCACCGGGCACCGCAGCCCCTCGGCGGAGCCAGGGAGGGAAGCCCTGGCCGCCGAGCGCGATGCTGAGCCAGGGAGCCGGGCTGGCCCTGTGCACCGCGCTGAGCCTGCTGCAGGTGAGCGGACGGGGAGGTCGCGGGCGGACGCGCGCCATGCCCGCCCCGCAGGGCCCAACTCCCACGCACCCACTTTCTGGTCTCCTCACTTATGTTTTGGGGAGGGAGGGGGCTGGATTTTTTTATCTCCCCTGGGAAGAAAGATCCTCCTCTGAGCCTCCAGCCAGACTGTCCGGGGCAAAAAAGCCACTTTTTTCTCCTGCTGCTCTGGGGAAGGAGCAGCTGGGAGGCCGTTGCCACCCACCTTCCTCCCCGGGGTGCGCCCCGGGATGCGCTGAGGCGGGGGGGGGGGGGGCGGTGAGTGGCTTCGCGGGGAGCTCGCGGTGGAGCTGCCCCTGGCCAGCCCAGGCTGCGGGCTTCAGCTGCTGTCTCTGGTTCCTTTGCAGACCGGACTGGGGGAGCCGGCGAGGTGTAACTTCACGGTGACCGAGTCCAGGGTCTCCAGCCGGGCCGCGTCTCTCCAGTGGAGGACTCTGGGGCCGCCCTGTAACTTCAGCCTCAACTATAGCAATGACTCATCGGAGTTCACGAGGTGCCACCCCGTGAGGATAGACAACACCACCTATGAATGTAACCCCAAGGATTTACAAGCGGGAACCGTCTATAACTTCAGGATTGTGGCTCTGGATGGAGAAGAGAGAACCGTGGTCTTGCAAACAGGTAAAGGGGTGACAGGTGCTTGTTGGATGGCCAGCCCTGCCTCATCCAGCTGGTGCTTCATTTGAGTCCCAGGCATACAAAAAATAAAGGTAAAAATGCCTGTGGAGAGAAATGTCCTCAGGTCTGGCCAGAAGCAGCGCGGTTGGCTTTCAGAGAGTTCCTTAGTGCTGAAAACAGCGGGCTCTTCGCTTCTAGGTTACAGCAAAGAGACACTGTGGAGGGAGTCTGTTAAAGTGATGTGGTTTGAGCTTCCAATCCATTAAATTGTCAAGCCCTGGATTAATTTTAAGTAAATGTTTTTAGAATAAATAATGGAAGTGCAATGATTAGGGATATGCCTTTCCTCAACTTAGTTTTATTTTTAGAACCAGGATATAAAATCTTCAGGAGTAGAATAGAGCCATTCATAAGAGACTATTAGACAAGTCCTTTGAAACAAGGGTACGAAAATAATTTTGTATTACGTAACTAAAACTGTGTAGTATCAGAGAACGTCCTTTGGTTACTCTGCACTGCAAGTCAGTTATTTTCTTTACACTTTTGGTAAATCCTTCCATGCATATATGCATGCTAAGTTTGTCTTTCCTGCCTCCGTTTGCTTATCTGAATAATAAGAGTGGTAGACTTGGTCATTTAGCTCCAAGTTCTTACGGAGTGCCAGCCATTAGGTAGGGACTCGCATGCACCTTACCTCACTAATCCCCATGCCACCCCCAGATGTGTTCCAACTTCTCTAACGACTTTGATGTCTTATGACTTCATTCGTCTTCCTTTTAACATTATCTTTATTTATTGCAATAGTGAAGACGTACTTTTATCTAGAAAGTGAAATTTAACTGAAGAATTCCAGAAGTTAAATTTAGAAATGTGTTGTCCTTACTATTCTTTCAAATGCAGCCTGAACAAAGATCACTTCTTCAGCTAGAGTTCTTCAAAGAGGTGTGAGAACTTTCCGTTCTCAGGATCAGGAAATGGGTTCATGAAATTAGTCAAGCAAATATTAATTCTCTTATGTTTTCAAAGAAAAGTTAAGAATGCCCAGTTACATCACTTGACTTACTTCACACGAAACTTTTAAATAATTTCTGAGATTTGCAAAAACTTAAATTGAAAAGAAATACCACTTGTTAAATACTTAGTTGTATTTTCATATAGAATCAGAAAGAATGGAATCAACCATGTAATTAGAATATTTTATAGAAGTTTAAGCAACTTGGGTTTTAGTCATAAAGTTGTTGGTTTCTTGGTATGTGAGGATAGTTTTGTGAACATTCAGATTGGTAATGCTGTGAAATTTATGACAGAACTTCCAGATGTATTCATTACATTTGATAAGATGTCTGTGTTGAGTGGACCAGATGATTTTAAAAAATAGGTGAGCCTTCAGAAGCTTATGGGAGAAAGGATAGAGACATTCATAAGCCAGAATACAGTCACTTGACCCATAGGTTTTACTTTTTGGAAACAAACGTTGATGGAAAAGGACATAGTGTGGAGGTTACTAGTTAGAATGCCCTTTCAATTTAATTATACATGTAGGTGTTTCAAGTCCAGAGACATTTGTTAAATGTAATAAATATTTCAATTTTATTAACTATGTCGAGTTTTTAAAAAAGACTTCATCAGCATCCAATGTGTTAGCATTCAGGTTCTCATCATTTTTCCTAAGGAGTTACTTTTACAGTACCACAGGTACACTTCACACCACAAATTTTATGATGAATATGAAGAATGAAACTTGCAGGTGATGTTTGTATAATGATAATTTTTCACACTTATTTGTATGATGGTGTAACTCTTCTTAGGATTCTCCACACTTAACAAATAATTATATTTAAGTAAACATTTTTTTGAAACTTAAGATTTAAAATCAGGTTTCAAGGAGGATATTTTTTGGTTGGTTGTTTATTTTTTGTTAATAGTGCCATCTATATTTTAAGGATATGTGTGAATTTTTCATTTATTTAAGAGAAAGGGGACCAGTACTCCTCTATATTAATTGCTAAACTACAGAGATGAGATCTACAAATTATACTTTAGTGTAATAAAACAGGACCAACTAGTGGTATATAATACAAACTCTGAGATATAACTTCAAAGAGAAAAGTCATTCAAAGTGTGATGTGCTATCTTTATGCCAATTTGCCTGTCTTGTTGGGCTGCAATAAATCAGAGTGAGAGCAAGGCATGACCTGGCTAGAAAGGCAGCAGTTGCTTGGATTATCTCTGTATCATCCCAAGTGTGATTTGTCTGATTGTTTTTCCTAATAATTTTCTAAAAGAACTAGTTATTTTGGTGTCATGTAGCCATGACCTTAAAGATCAAAATTTTAACTAAATGAGAACTATTTCAGCAACAACCAATTTTCACTCCAGCTTTTAAATCGGAACAGCAAAACGTGTGCATTCATATTCAGTTCAGCAAACGTTTATTGAGCATGGACACTGCAGTGACTAACACCAGGTAGTGATTGGTGAGCTTATAAAGACGACGAACAATACATGGTGCCCTTGCAGGGCTGTGCAGAGGTGAGAGAAGGTTATGATGAAGGTGGTGTCAGACCTTTGCTGCTTCTTTCCTGGGTGAAGACCTTGCCCTGCCTCCTGAATGTATGTCATGCTTTCATGACCACGGAGAAGACATTGGGAAGGTCTCAGGTTTCTTCGGCCACTAAAACATCTGTGCAACAACCATAATAAGTTGAAAGCCAAATTACTTAGTTGTGATTTCATCAGAAATCAGATATGAAGATAGCTGATATTGGAGAACCCCGCACTTTTGCAACACTGTGTCCTCAGTTTTGAGCAGAAGCTGAGAACTGATAGTCCCTAGGGATGTGTAGGTGTCTTCATAATAGCTGTTTTATTTGGCTCACGTAGTGTTTGTGAAGAGTTCAGTTTGTTTCACCAGCATTAAAAAATGGAAAATTTACATAAAAAAACAGATGTATGGATTCTCTAAAAATATTGGAAAATTTGGCAAAACTGGGCCATCAAATTCCTAGAACTCTCTAGAGCTGAATTGTGGCTTCTCTTTTCAGATACTAATTCACTTGACCATTTCATATGTCCTTACCTGAATGCATCCTAAGGACATTTGAGTTTGTTTAAATGAAATTTTCTGGTTTTCATTTAGAACTTTTGGGGGCTTTTATCTTCCCATCAATAAGAAGTAGTTTTTTAGCAACTAAAATGACATCTAGTACATGGTACACACTCAATAAATATTGATTAAATTTATGGATGGATAGATGAATGAATGAATGAATGAATGAATGAATAGATTAATAGTTGGATCTATGCATGAATAGATGATAGATAGATAGATAGATAGATAGATAGATAGATAGATAGACAAGTAAATATGAATGAAAGAAATGAATATTTTAGTAAGAAAATATACATATACTAAAAATACGGCCTACTCTCATTGCTTTTTGGGTAAGTTAAGGAGCCCAGGGAAGTAGACTAGTGGTAGGGAACTTCACCCATAGGAGGAATATCTTAGCGGTATATGCCCTCTTGTTAGTTAGTTTCACCTACTTATTCATGAGAGGAAAAAAATCAGCACTTTTCATATGGTTAACTCCTTTTTCTTTAATAAAAAACATTTTAGAAGCTGTAATTACCAAATAATCATATCAGCTATTATTTCCATTTCAAAATGTTGTTTATTGTACTAACCTATTAGGGCTTCCATAGCAAAATACTACAGACTGAATGGTCTAAATAACAGAAAATTATTTTCTTACAATTCTGGGGTCTAAAAGTCCCAGATCAAGGTGTCAGCAAGTTTCTTCTGAGGCTTCTCTGATTCGCTTGCAGGTGGCCACTTCTCACTACGTCCACACGTGGTGTCCCTCTGTCTGTGCCCTAATCTCCTCTTCTTATGAGGACCCCAGTCATACTGGAATGGGTTTCCCTAACAATCTTCTTAACTTTATTACCTCTTTAGAGGCTTTATCTCCAAACGCAGTCACATTCTGAAGTATTGGGGGTTAGAGCTTCAACATATGAATTTTAGAGGAACACAATTCAGCCCATAACACTTACGTAGCTTTAAACATAGGCCATGATTTCTGTAAGCTATTTGCATCGAAATCTCTTGCAGAGCTTGTTATGAAGGCATATTTTTGGCTTCTGCCCAGCCTGTAATGAATTTAGAAAGAGTGGAGCCTAGGGTATTTGATTTTAAACAAATATCGAGGTGAATCAGTGCACACTGGAGTTCAAGAGCTATTGACATAGTTTTTCTACTTTTCATTGGCATCAAAATGTTGGTACCATTCCTCTTTATGCATGGTCAAATCTAAATAGATAAAATAAATATTACGCTGACCACATATTGTTTAATTTTATCTTCATGGCAGTCCTGTGGAGGGAGTATTATGAAGGCCCGGGTTGCAGAGTGGTTAAGAGTTGAGTTCTGAAAGCTGCTGCCTCCATCACTTACTTGACAAGTTGCCTTGGGCAAGTTATTAACCTCCCCAAGCCTAATCTATAAAGTGGGGATGATGATAAAAATATTGCCTACTTCCTAGGGTCTTTAAGTGGTTCATATGAATTCTAGAATGGTTTTTATCACATACTAAGTGTGTAGTAAGTTTGCTATTATTACTTTCAGGTTGGAGATAAGATTGATATTCCTAAGAATTAACAGATCACGAGTCCACACTGCTAATAGAGGATAGGCATAGAACTTGAACCCCAATTCACTGCATCCAATTCCAATTCTTTCCACTATTCTGCAAAAACGGACATAGTTCTTAAGCTGGTATTAGTTCTTTCAAATTACTACATGACACTTTGTTATTACTTTCCAAGTTGACTTTTTAAGGAAAAAATATACTACAAAATAAGTCTGTGTGTGTGTGTGTGTGTGTGTGTGTGTGTGTGTGTATAGCCTACACAAAGGTGGAATAATGATTAAATGTGTTAGAGTGTGAAGAAATTATAAATTATTAGCAGCGATTGATTTTCAGTTGCTTTGAATTCTTGGT